CCCCCCGCCCGCCGAAAAGGGCATTTTGGGGTCCCCCCCCAAAAAAAAAGAGAGAGGCGAGGCGCAAGACAGCCGCGTGCTTCGGGGCTCCTCCGCAGCCCTTTGGGCCGGGCGTCCGACGGCGCCTTGCAAGGTGCGCGCAGCTGGCCGCCTCTGCGGAGGAGCTGCGCCCTGGACGCTGGGAACCCCCCCCCCTTCCAGGAGACTCCTGCCGCCCCCGGACTCCGGCTTTGCCAGACGACGTGCCTCCTCGCCCGCTGGCTCCCGAGGAGGGGGGGGCCTTTAGGGACGGGCCTCGTCTCGTGGGAAGGGGAAAGGCGGCCCTCCCGCCTTGACTCGCGTGCCGCGTCCGGGGCTTTTTCCCCTGGAGTTCCGCCTCGGCGGCTCCCTTCCTCCCCGTCGCCTCTTCTTCTGGGACAGAAAGGCCTCGCCCTTAAGGCGCCTGGGCTGGGGGGGGGGGGGGGGGGCGGTCGGTGTTCCCTCTAAGCCCAGTTCCTGTGAGCTGGCTCACAGTGTTTCAGCCTCCATCGCACACATTTCTGTCTCGGCTCGGGAAGGAGGGGGCTCCAAAGCAAACTGATCCATGCAGCAGCCAAATGGCTCGCTCACAACTTTAGTGCCAGGAGCTCGCAAAGTAGACCTTTTGCTCACAAGACTCCACAGCTTAGCGGGAGCATGGCTTGGGGGACAGGGGGCTCCTGCAGAATTTGGGGGTAGGGGGAAGGCTGCTGCTGTTTTCTCACACTCCCCTGCTTAACACTTTGTTCTTTCCCCCGGGGGGGGGGGTCTCTCCCCTCGAGCAGGTGACCCTCACCTCGGGCCAGTTCGAGTTCGAGATCCTGTCCATGCAAAATGTCAACGGGGAGCTGCAGAACGGGCATTGCTGCGACGGGACCCGCAACCCGGCCGACCGGAGATGCACCCGAGACGAGTGTGACACTTATTTCAAAGTTTGCCTGAAGGAGTATCAGTCGCGGGTTTCCGCTGGGGGCCCCTGCAGCTTTGGCGCCGGATCTACCCCGGTCGTCGGTGGGAATACCTTCAACTTGAAATACAGTCGGAATAACGAAAGGAGCCGGATCATTCTGCCTTTCAGCTTCGCCTGGCCGGTGAGTTCCGAGACAAGGCTCTGCAGGGGGGGGGTGTCTGTGCTTGAGGACCGGCAGCTGTGGGGGTCCTAGCTGGAGTTTGGGCTTCCTTTCGTGTAGGCTTCCTTGGCTAAGGCTGGATGGAGAAAGGGCTGAGCCTGTCCGGGCGCAGGGAACCTGCCGATCCGGTGACTTCTGCAGGCTGAAAGTGCCCTGCCTGATAAGATCTCTGTTGTCTGTGTAGGAGCAGCCCGGGCAGCGTGAGAACCCTAAATGGATTGGGCACACGGCTGGTGTGTGTGTGTGTGTGCACATGTTGCTCTTGGAGGCACATGTAAGCCCCTTGAGAATTAAAAGGTCACAAGTTCATGCTCTCTGTTTTATTTTTTTTTCCCCCTTCCCAATTAGTTCTCATGCCCAGGTGAAGGGGGGAGGGGCAGTGTGCGCCAAGATCCCCGGTGAAAAGAGCCTGCCAGAAAAGGCAATGCCCAGGGGAACCGGTGGCTGTTCTTGGGGCTGGCTGTTCTTGGGGCTTAAGTGCCCTTAAGGCACTTGCCAGGCAATGGATAGTCTCAGAAGCTAAATCAGGAGGAGGACTGATGCTTCGCTGTCTCCCTCCTCCTCCCCCCCCCCCGCACACACACAAACACCAGATGTGGACTGTCAGCTCCACCGCATTCTCTCTCAGAAGAGAGGAGCCATAGCAGGATCCTGCCGCCTTGGCTCAAGCCAGGCTTGCAATGTGTGGACCTGAAGGTTTGGGGGGTGGTGGTGGCATGTCTGACAGTGTTGAGTATGTGCTGGGTGGGGTCAGGGCTGTTTGCTCGGAGAGGGTCTTCGGAGGGACCCCGCGTCCACAAGTGCATAGAACTCTTTCGAGTGCCGCGATGCTGCAGACTTCCACGGAGAAACGTTGCCGTGCAGCCGGTGCTCAACGCCCGTTGCACCTCTGGCTGCATCGGGAACGGGGCCACTGCCTCCTGTGACTCGCCAGAGACGCAGGTTCCGAGTGGTGAGAAGAGACGCTTTGGGGAAAGGAGATTGGATCCGTGGCCTTTGCCAAGGGAGGGAGGGGCTGTCTCCCCCCCTCCCCTCCCCATTTGTTTGTTGAGAAAGATGCTGTAGTGTGCCTAGGAACGTGGGACCGCAAGATTTCATTTTCTCATTGGCTCTTTTTCTCTGAGCCGAGACCGCAGAGGAGTGGGTGGGAGGGGTATTGAAATCCCACCCACCCACCTACCCCTGGCCTGCCTTCTCAGGCTCCCTCGCCATCCAAAGCGGCACTCCAGAGCCCGGCCACGTGTTCCGGTACTGCCTCCTGTCTGCCGGCAGAGCAAATATCAGTTTGTGATCCTCTGGGCTGATTTCCCTGCTCTCTCAGCCCTCCCTCCCAGCCTCCCTTCTCTGTCTCTCTCTCTATCTCTCTCTCTCTTTTTAAAGGGTGAAGCTGAGTGCACATATTTAAAGAGACAGCATTACCAAGTATAATAGCCGAGTTCACAAAAGTGTTCCCTGTTTGGAACTGTAAGCCCCGCGATCGGATTTTGTTGGAAAGAGATAAAAACTGTTACCAGATATGCCATCAAAGGGATTTTCGAAAAAAGTTTTGCAAACGGGGGGAGGGAAGTGTGGTATTTGAAACGCGGCCAAGAGGCTGTCGTGCTGCTGTTATGGATTATGACTCCATTATTATTATTACTATTTTTACTATTATTATTATTATCATTATTATCATCATTATCATTATTATTATTATTTAATAATCATCATCATAATCATCATGGGCAGGTTTTCCTAGAGCATTAATCTTCCTCATTTGAGTGTAGGCGGAAAGAGCAAGTGTCCAGTAGCACCATAAGAACGTAAGAGAAGCCAGTGTTGGGTCAGGCCAATAGCCCCTCCAGTCCAACACTCTGTGTCACGCAGTGGCCAAAAATACCAGAAGCCATCAGGAGGTCCAGCAGTGGGGCCAGGACACTAGAAGCCCCTCCCACTGTTGCCCCCCCCCAGCACCAAGAATATACGGAGCATCCCTTGCCCCAGACTGTGAGTTCCTATCTATACCTCTGCTTCGTATGTTTATCCAGTTCCCTCTTGAAGCGGTCCATGCTTGTAGCCGCCACCATCTCCTGTGGCAGGGGAGGAGCTTTCACGAATCACTACTCACTTCTTCAGATCTACCTCCTGTGGATGATTGATGTGAATGTCGCCCCCCCACACACACATTCTCCTACCAGAGTGTTGTGCTTTTGAGCTCTTAACTTGAACAAGGTTACGGATTCAGTGCCCTGATATTAATATAGGAGGCTGCCTTTTACTGAATCAGACCCCCCCCCGGTCCATCAGCGTTCAGCATTGTCTACTCAGACGGGCAGTGGCTCTCCAGGGTCTCAGGCAGAGGTCTTTCCCATCGCCTCCCACCTGAATCTTTTTAATTGGAGATGCTGGGGATTGAACCCTGGGACCTTTTGCATGCAAAGCCGAGGCTCTGCCACTGAGCCACGGCCCCTCCCTGGGAGAGAAAGCCACATTATAGATGAGGCTTCCTTGGGAGTAAACCCACAGAAGAACTGGGCTTGTGTGACCCTCTTTTCTATGCCTTTTGTATGAAGGCCTTTCTGTGAGTTGGTCATGAGGTGTCGCCTAGGGCGAACTGCCAGTCTCCCCAGGTAACTCCATGAGGCGCGCCCAAAAGGCCCATTGCCTGGAAGATTGCTTGTCTTCTCCATTGCTTTTGAGCCAGTCAAACATTGGACTGTTAACTGTTGCACTGGGGGAAAACTGAAGAAAAGGCTGCTCTGGGCAGTCTTCAGTTGGCAAAACATTCCTTCAAGGCATCCGAGTCCAAAAAGAGCTGTGTGTCTGGGTGTGGACGCATGTTGCACTTTCCGCAGGGCTATAAAGTGCCCTGAGGGTATTTTTCTTTTCCCCGTTGCCAAAGTGGCCCTGGCCAGAGACAATAGTCTCATTCCCCCCCCAGCTTTCTTTTGAGGGGGTGCTTCTTTCAAGGCCCCGAAGCCACCTCTGGTGGTTTGTTTTGCTCAGCGTGGCCTGCCCCTGGAACCGTGGAGCCACAAAAAGTGCCTCTTCTTCAGCCGTTTCCACACACTCCCTTTCCGACAAAACACTTGCCTGGCTGCAGTTTATTCTTGCTTTGCAGAAAAGCAGCACAGTAAAAGTGAAATGGGCTGCATTCACATCCCACACCTCACCCTGCTGGTGCACAACCGACAGTTCTAACAAAAGCCCCCCCCTCCCCCCGCCCGGACCGGTTGACCCATCTTTCCCGTCTGTGGCTGAGACAAAGGGGTCCCCTGCTCTAGAATGGGCCCAGTTTTTAGAGCGGTCCTGCGCCTTCTCTCTCTCCCTCGCAAAGTGTTCCAACATGCACTCTGCCAAAAATAGTCTTTAACGATGATGTGCAAGCGCACTGCCATGCGTTATGAGCCGCCGCACACACACACCCCACGTCCCGTATCCAAAACCTTCCTGCAGTGATTCCAAAAGGATTGACTTTTTCCTTCTCAAAGAAAGTATGCTTGGATTTGAAGTTTTGCTTTATTCTCTTTTGCCCTGCCTGGGTTTTGATGCAAGCCCTCGTGAGTGATGGGGTGGGGATGGGGGCTGTAAATTTCCTTTAAGAGACTGGAGGTTTGAGCCGGTTGCTAGGAGACAGGGCAGCTAAGCAGCCATGAAGGGGAAAGAAAGAAGCCTTCCAGGAGACTGGCACCTGCAAGCTAGCGCCACAACAATACAGGGGCTACACAAATGCGCAGTTGCCTATTGGAAAAGTGGGGCGGGCTTGTGAGCCTTTGAGTGTTCTGTTCTGCAAAGTACCGCCCCGTACAGAGGTTTCCTCCTTAACCGAAGGAATGCACAGCACTGACGTCTGTTCCGATACATGGGTGGCCTGCCCGTGTTCCCTGCTGTAATGCAAAAGGGATTGATCTTGGATTGGTTTTTTGATTCTTTGAGCTGCTTTCCAGAGTCTCCCTGTGTGTACGCCCGTGACTGGCATCAGCCGTCTTTAAGTACTCTGTTCTATAATTCCTAATTGATGGTGAACAGCTAATGCTTTCCTTTTGCGCACAGTACTGTCTGAGCACACCCGTTACCTGTGAATGTGATTTTGGTCCCCAGTGTTTTGCTCAGGATTCGGGGACAGTCTTCTTCTTTTGCCTGCAAAAGCCGCCTTGGTGGGCCTTGTGAGGGCAGAGAGGTGGGGTACAAATTCTGTAAATGAAAATAACTACAAGTTTAAATGGGTTACAAATGGTACTTGCCTACTGGGCATCTGAGGAGGTGCCAGGGCGCCTCCACTGTTCTTCCGCAAACTGCAGAAGCGCACATTCGGGATTTACTTAGCAGGGGAAAGCAGCAGCAGAAGAGACCCATCTTTTAGCTAACCCTGTTTCGTTTGGGGAAGGCTTGCAGGAGAGGGTCGCCACTCAGGGTTTTTTCTCTGGCGGTCTGCTGTTGGGGAAACCCCAGATCTTGCTGAGTTATGCTAGATGTTTTCTTTGGAGATGGTCTTTCCAAAGGCCTTTTGTCTGATCTATCAAAGGGTCTGAGACCTATTGTGGGGGAGGGGAGGGGGGGAGAACCCCAAGAGATTATCCTTGAGCCCCTCAGTGCTCTCCCCATTCAGAATCTGCAAGACTGGTCATTCAGCTTAAGTAACTTTTCGAAAGCGAAATCTGTGGTCACCCATTTGGAATTAATGGGGTTGGGAAACCCTGCATCCAGTTTAAAGAAGAGGAGTAAATCCGTGGGAAAGGAATTGTGTGGAATGTGAAAATACTGATGGTATTTTTAATGAGGCAGAGTCGACGGTGGAGGCAGATAATTGTTTATATTAAGTGCTGACACGTAACTGACTCTCCCGGTGTTGGATTTCAGTTCATTGGGAAAGGCTCATAATCCGGAGGAGAGAGCATATGTTTAAAATCTGGCTGTGATTGTATTTTTACTCTCATTACCCTGAGCTTGTTGGAATACGCACAGATCTTTCAGTTGGCATG